TGGTAGGTCGCGTTAGGAAAGTCCTCTGCCGTGAGCTAGATCGAGTGGAAGGAGAGCTGCAGAAAGTTCCGTTAGCTGGATAACGCCACAGATATCGAAACGCGTGAATCTTGTTTTTGCAGTGAGCAAGTGGACTGAAACTTCATGCACCGTTTCGATACATATTGCTGTTTCGTAAGCTCTCTGCGACACATCGTAAAAACCATGGAACTGTAGTTTTACCTCAAGGGATAATTGGACATATCTAGGAATGCGTATCTCATTGAGAGTTGAATAGTTTTGGAAGAATTCTTGCTATCTTTGGAAGAGTTGATGTTATTTGGTTTTCGGAGGAAGCGAAGAGGAATTCATCGGTCTCGGCTTTCCAACTTAGACCTAGAGTCTTTGTCCGCTCCTAATAGCTTCTCTCTTGGAAGATTGACAAGCATAGCCTCTTATTTGATTTCCTGTGGCTTTATAGAAAGCCGGTAAGGTTGAGAGCTTTGCATAGCTCGTCAATGAATCGGACAGCACCACTGTTAGAATGTGCAATGACAAGCACGTCATTCGATTTAAATACTGTCGCCAAAGTGAAGTGCAAACATAAATGGATAGGTGCTGCAGGACAAGGATCAGACGGTGTTGAGCTCATAATCACAGAGGCACCGAATTTTCGAAGAGAACTCTTTGCAATAGACTGCGTATTAGGATAATGCGGATTTGCCGATACCTTTTAGTACCATCAGTATTGGAAACGACATGTCAAGACTTAGATGGTTAGATCGAACTTGAGAAATCGTGTTTGTCGTTCAGACTTGCCAGTTGAGGAAGGGCGGGAGTTTTTAAGTCTTCGTCTTCGAGAATTAACGAAATTTTATCTGGTCCAAGAAGCATGGCGATGTGCGAGCTCTATGAAAAAAAGGATCACAAGATGCTATGTGGATACGAATATGAAGGTAAATAACCTGTCAGTTAGCACCAGTGCTTGGGGGTCTAATCAGTCGTTAGTTAAGAGTGGCCTCCATCCCGCCGTTTCAAAGGAACAGGTGCTTTACAGACTTTTTTAAGCTTTGGACCTAAAGTCGATCGATCCCTGAATTTTCAAATATTGTAACTGAATTCGTGTGTCTACATTCGTTCAATGTTTTTGGTGATCGCAAATTTCGGCTTTTCAATTAAGCACTGCGGACACTCGACAAAAGAATACACACAGTTTAAGACAATGTTTTCCAACCTTCTGCAGTACGAGAGTTCAAGTAAGTCAAGTCTCTGCAAACTTGCATGAAGGCATCAGCGAAGCCGTTTTTATTCAGTTGGTACTTTTGTACTTGTGTGAACGAATTGCGGTACCTTGGTCATATGTAGACGCTGCAGGTTTCGCTTAAACCTCTCTCGGGGTAAAAATTGGCTTAAATTTAATTTTTTATATTACAATACCGTTTTTTTATATTTATTCTCATCGTTAAATACCTCGAATACAATTCTCCTTTCAGATGTTGTCATACCTACAAATTCATCAGAGAAATCTAATATAATACTCAAGGCCGGCCAAAGAGTTATGGTGTTAAAATCAGCGAAAGGAATATATATGCAATTAGATAGTGGAAAAATTATTGCAATCAGAACAACATCCAAGCGCACAGATGAAGAAAAAAATAAAGAAGACGTAATTGATATTACATCAGACTGCGATACAGATGTTCCAAAGCCTACATCGCCAGAGCAAGGTAAGAAAGTTATCCTTGTCTACATGCTTATATAAAAGAGTTTGTCTTGACTGCGATAGAGAGTTATACCTAAGCTTATATGTTTTTGCGGCTCAAGTCTGTTTTTCTTTTATTTATGTAATTGTTCATTTAAATTAATTTTACAAAACGTGTTAATAAGTAAAAAACTCCGGTCGGGAGTAAATAATCTGAACACGCCAAACTAGTACAAACAAGCATTTCCGACCACATTAAGTAAATATATTCTTGATCAGCATCAATAGTCGAGTCGAGCTAGCCGTGTCCGTCTGTCTGTCCTTCCGTCTCTATGTATGAATCAATGAATCTTAGAACCTATAAGAGCTAGATACATGAAATTTTGAGCGTAGGTGCTCTTAGTGCCCGCGCAGTACGAATTTGTTTCCAATATTCGATATCTTTGCAAGTAATCGATTAAAGTCGATATCGACATCCTGTTTTTTGAGCAAATCGCTTAGGTTTTAAGACCTAGAGTCACCATACTTGACATGTAAGGTATATATTGAATTTTTGTATTAAAAGCTTTTTGTTTTTTAAGTTTTATTGACTAGATTTTGTGTTGATATTCAAAAAGAATTATTTTATTATATTTCTTACATAAAAAATATTTATCTTTGATTTCAGAGAAACCCTTGGAAACATTAACTGTGCCAAAAACAAATGAAGTCAATAACACGGAATGTTTACCAGTCGAGCCGTCTGATCCACCCTTAACCAGAACAGGCGTTTTAGATGATCTACAGCAAAATAAACCTCAAATTTTGCAAAATAGTAATGAAATTGAAAGTTTAAACAGCATCCCAGCAAGTCTTCACCAGATGCAGAATGATTTGGAGTACCATAAGCAGCAACCTTATAAGCATGAAGCACAGTTACCTATTGTCGAACCTTACAGTAGTTCTGTTAATGTTCAATCGAGTGCAATACACCAACAGCCTATAGCTTCTAACAACGATTTGTCGGAAGAATCATATTTTTCAAGTAAAAATGTTCCACACACGTTCACTCCCCAATATTATAATTACTATGACAATAAGAATACACCCGCAACAGCCAACTATCATATTAATAATTATGCCCCATATGGTCATTTTAATTTTGCTCCCTATCATTCCAATTTCCATTCACCGGCTGGGTATAGCGGTAGTTCCGGACCATATATTAACTCAAATGTCTTTCCTAGACAACCCTGGAATTCAGTTGGAAGCCACCAATCAAATAATGAATCAATTCGTCAACAACAATATATGGGAAGTACTTATTCAATTAATGAATGGTCTTCTCAATAATCAAAGTAATTTAGTTCTAGTTTTTTCTTTAAATTACTTTTGACTTATTTATTTATTAGGCTAGAAAAATCTCTGAAAAGTAGCGATAAATACCAAATAAGAACAGATTGTCATTCCACACAGCTAAAATGTATATCCACTAAATAAACTTAGTAAATATATATGTAAATAAAGTCTATTACTTACGTGTTGAAGCTATAATATCTATTGTGACTAGAGGGCTTACACTCCGGGTAATGTAGTAATGAACAGAAGTTATTAAAGGTTGCACCGGGTTCCTAGATAACCCATATATCCTTTGCTTACTATGCCAAAGATATCGTCCTGGTGAATCTAAATGGCCGAAGTGGTCAAAAAATTATTTATGCTTTATTTTCAGCCGCCCCCATCAATAGTTATAATAAGCGATCGTTAATTTATCAGTTGACTGTTTAAAACATTTTTGCTCCCTGTGGGTATGCAATGATATTTTGTATGAAAACAATTTTAGTTCGTCTGCCTGCTGGGCATTCTGTTCGCCTGGTATTTTTGCCAAATTTCCGCTCAAATCTAACGCCCCCTTCATAGCAGCAGCTGTTAACAGTGGTATGTTAAGTAACAGCTGCAGCTGCTGGTTAACAGTGGACGGTTAAATAACAGCTGTTGATTAACAGTGGACTGTTAAATTAAATTTTTTCTGTGAATCTACCTGCTGGGCATTTCTGTTCGCCTGGTATTTCAGCTGAATTTTGATATTAAAATTAGATCCAACGGCCGAGCCCAGTGCAATGTTATTTTGCGTCCGCTTATGGTTAAACCTTAATTTAATTATGAATAAAGATTTCAGGCGAATTTTGCTGAGATTTGGAGCTATAGGTATCCCAGGACTATATCTATGGTATCGTATGGCCAAGGATATATCGGTCATCTAGGAACCATAGAGGGAGGGGCATAGGGGCTGAAAGAAACGCTTGCATATTCATATTTCTGGACCATTTCCCAGCTAATTTTGCATGAATTTCGAGATTTAGGTTCACCAGGACTATATCAATGGTATGGTAAAACCAAGGATATATCGGGCATCTGGGAGCCATAGAGGGAGGAGGGGACGGCTGAAAGAAACGCATGCGTATTTTTATTTCTGGACCATTTCCGAGCCGATTTTGCACGGATTTGGAACTGTAGGTTCACCAGGACTATATCAGTGGTATAGTAAAACCAAGGATATGTTAGTCATCTAGGAACCATTGGTTTTGATTGTCAGTTCGCCCGAGGCGTGGCAAATAAGGCTAAGAAATAACAAAAACAGCAAAAAAATGTAATTGGCCATAATTCGGCCAAATAAAGCCCGATCCTGGGAAGATTGGGAGCGTTGAACTCGTGAAGGTCCATAGAACAGATTGGCATCAAAGTTAGGATATCGAAAGTTTCCCCGATTCCCGGGACTTATTGAATGCCGTCGGTTGAAGGTATTTTGATGAAGAGGGGTCTACGTCCATGGGCTCTGCGCTCTTGGCCTCAGGGCTTGTGTCTGCCTGTTCGGACGCGCTATGTCCCTTCTGCGTTGAAAAAAATGGCTCTTCATTTGATTACTTTGGTTACCGCCCTCTTGTTCCTGAGGTTTATCTTGCTCTAATATAGCCACTTCTAATAAAGCCAAATAAACATATGTATATTGATTAACGGAAAGAACTCATCAATAACTTACCCGTTTCCAAGCAGTTGATAAAACTCCATATCGAAATCATATTTTTTTAAGCAAATAATCTCTTAGGAAATAAGAGATAGTGACATCAAATTATAAATGTAGCTATGTAGGGAAGCTACAATTCCTACTCCCGCGTACGCCCCATGGCTATAGATCAAATATGTATATTAAACATCTGGAACTACCCACTGTTATAGAGTTCAATAATGACGCGTATCAATGCGTGGGAGTGCATGTTGACAAAAAATCATTGAAATTTGCGATAGCTGCCGCAAACACAGGGCTTGTTAAGATTAAGATAAGATACGTTTTCTTAAATAACTTCTGTATTGCTTAACCGATTTTTAGGTGTATATATAATTGTGCTATACAATAATCGCAATTGCATAAAAATTGTGGCTTACATTTTTGGGTGGTTCCAATTTATTTATATACATAAGTATGCGGTGGGAGCGGAGGTGTAAATGGCTAAAAATAAAATGAAAGATGCTCGAACTGTGCATACTTTTCCAGAAGCTTCGTGTCCTCTTGTGGCGATATCTATAAAATTAAAGATAATTGATATATATATTATATTCAAGTTTGAGGACTCTAGCTCTTAAAACCTAAGAGATTTGCTCAAAAAACAGGATTTCGATATTAATTTTTATCGACAGACGGAAATGGCTATTGATATTAATAAAAAAATATATATACACCTTATGGGGTCGAAGATGCTTCCTTCTGTTTGTTACATGCATTTGCACAAATCCATTTAAAACGGGTAAAAGGATATTATATTATGTTATGTTAAAAATCTTAGCGCAGGGTTTAGGGCATCTCCTAATCGGTCACTCCCGTTGACGGGTCCAATCGCGCATTTTTACGTTATTACAGTTTTTATCCTTGACCGACTTCACAGCGAAAGTTTAAGCCCAAAATGTCCAATAGAAACATTTTTGGCCGCACGCTCCACACAAGTGCAACCACTGTGCATTGGGGAAGGAAATATTAAATACCGATACAAATCTTTAACATACATATACATATATATACATGTATGCTCATACATGTGTGTATTTTCGAATGTTTGTGTACAACATTTATTTATATTTATAAGCATTGTCTGCATATACAAACCTGCATATATGTATGTATATGTATACATACGTCTGTACTGATGATTGAATATGTGGTGTATTTTTATCCCCAGTTCACATAGGGCATACTTGGTTTTTACATATACTGTCTGCTTGCCCGTCTCTCTGTTTAAGCGTAATATTGGATGCCGCTCCTGAAGCCATAAAATATCAGTCCACGTCCACTCTGGAGCCATCTCATTTTGCATGTAGACTGCCGATGACGTCATCTAGAGATCTAGCTAAAAATACATTCACTACAGTCGATGAGTTGGCAACCTATAATTAATAGGAGCCCGCTCGGTTAATTTAATAAGTATGTAAATACAGCTAAGAGCGTTCCAGAGTCGGCTACATCCGACTGCACGTTGTTATACATGCATGGTTGCAGAATATTCTATATTTGAATATGTTCTGAGCTCTTTTAGCACAGGGGGGGATATATGTATGAAAAGTTAGGAATATACAACATGTAACAACTATAATATTTAACTTCATTGTTAATTTCATCTATATGTTAAGCAAATATTTGTAATATACATTTTTTTATACTGGTTACGTACAAATCAAAAGCTAAACAAAAAAATGTCGATTATATTTATCGCTTTATTGCCGCATTTCTAACAAAACATATTTTTTGTTGTGCCGTGTGCATCCACAAATATAGACTACCAGAGTACAGAATCTTTCCAGTTTAGTCGGCATCGTCTTTGACATACAGGAACTTCTTTACAAGTGTACCATTGTTGGTATGTACAAGTGTTGAATGTATTTATAGAACCAAAGGTTTAACATTACGCATATAATTGTGAAAATAGTTGACACATATTCTAATTGATTGCCCTCTAAATAATCATAAATATAAATTTCAAACAGCTCTTGCAGATATAACAAAATGCCATTCGTTCCGGTAGAGACACCCAAATGCCCAGCGTGCGGCAAATCTGTCTACGCAGCTGAAGAGCGCGTCGCTGGTGGCTACAAATTCCATAAAACTTGTTTTAAATGCAGTAAGTAGTTCTTGGCCACTTATTAAACAGTATAACTACATATTGATCATTTTTCCAAAGGTATGTGCAATAAGGCTTTGGACTCAACAAATTGCACTGAGCATGAAAAGACACTATTCTGTAAGAATTGCCACGGACGGAAGTATGGTCCCAAGGGTTATGGCTTTGGCGGTGGTGCTGGATGTTTGTCAACGGACACGGGTGCACATTTAGCGAGAGAGTAAGCATTTAATTAATTAACTCTTATACCCTGTTGAAAATGGGTAAACAGCTAATGGTAACTGTAAGTAACAGGCCGAAGTTTGCATCTTCGACTCCATAAAGCAGCGTCAAGCAAGCTAGATCCTAGACATCTCCGTCTGTCTGTATTTCACGTTGCCCTCAGGTATGGACGACCCTAAAATAGGAATAAAAGTTTTCGTTTACCATAATCGGATCGATCTATAAATATTTGCTGCCGTTTCATTGAATCTCCGAATGAGAAAAGTGTCTATCTACAGCACTATTCTTTTAACATATCTGGCAGATTATAAAATAGACGCAGTATACATACACAAAATCAAAAAATGTTTGTATGAGTTTTACATTTACATTGGTACACGTAAATAACGCCTGTAACTTTCATTAGGCTAAGTAAAAGAAATGCACAGCCGCTGCACAAGGCGCATCACGTTTACATATTTTAATATGTGTAAAAAGTAATAATATTAATTTTATATATGCATTTATTATTTATTTAACCTAATAATTTTGTTTGCTTTATTTTTTTAATTTCAGTTAATATGGTTCCTGCCAAGTATCATTTGATAAACTCAATTTAATGTTCGAGAGATGCTGAATAACTCATTTCTTGACCCTATGTGTTATAATTATCCTGACATATGTGAATCTTATGAAAATCAAATATTTTTGTATTCATTTTCATTACTGACTGTAAAAAAATAAATGAAATAAAAACTTAGAATAATAAATCTATATCTATATATGTATATACATATATATAGCTATGGTATAGCGTTCTGCTGAATATGAACATGTCGTAGCAGCTCATCTTGCAGAATTTTAAGTAGTTCGACATATGCTTCTTTAAGCATTTCAAGAAGCGTGGACCTGCGAACGATTTTCCACTAATATTTTGGCCAAAAAGGCGAGTTTCGCCCTGTTGACTCTTTAAATCTGTCTGTTTCCCCTTTATAAGCCAATAGGTGCTTGATTATGTTTAATTTAATGGCATTCGCAGAATTCTGCAAGCAATGTGGACATATCTGGTGTGCTTCCATATAAGCTTAAAGAATCTAACAAGGGTAAATAAGAGGATTGTGTCCAATGTTTACCCGGCTTCCGATTATGTATGAGATCATTGACTTTTGTTTCAAAATTTGGAGTGTCGTTAATTGTGCCTGTTGATCTATTTTAAGCTCCTGAATTTAGGATATCATCCCCCTATGCCACATAATTAAAATTCCAAATGGAAATTCGTATATTTTTTTTGACATTCAAAAACAAATATAGATTGCCATGAAGAATTTTAATATAATTAAACACTAATACATACTATATAAAATTTGTGTAGTCGTTTCCTGGTTTTAAAATTTGTTATAATTCTTATAAAAATGAGAACTGTGTGAACTATGTAAGGAAAACTAACACAACAAGTATTTTGGAAGTAGTGTTTAACAGGTATTTATGGAAGTATGGAAAAACAAATCATAATAAACATTTAGTTACTAGAGTTTAATAAAGTTTGACTTATCTGCTCGAGAGTGCCCGGCTATGACTACATCAAAAATAATACGCTGCATGTTGCACAGCTTGCGGCGCAGCAGCTTTGCTTCTCCCTTAAGGACCCATGCAATGAGATCAAGCAAGGGTTCTAGTCGAGAGTTCCCGTCTAGGGGAAACCCTGAACCCCTTCTACCAACACCAACTGCAGCTATTTAGAATCGACTAACAACAAGTAAACAGAAACTGCAAAAAATTGCACTTATATTTAACAGTTTATTTGATTAATGTAATTTTATCTGACGAAAAGAAGTTGAGTTTTGTATATCCACGATGGACAGCACACAGCATATAAATATAATAAGAGTAACATCTTAAAATTTATAGAGGAATATAAGTGAATTATAATTCGAATAGTTAAAACTTTTTTTTATTTTTATTGCAGGTCACTTGCAAACAACTTACTGACAAATCCACTCATTCTACTAGGAAAGAAAATAAGTATTTGGCAATGCAGTCAGCGAATTTAAATAATCATAGGCCATATGGAAATTGAACAGCTTGAAATAAACAGATATATTTTCAGGGCACTTTAGAGGGCAGAAGTAGCACTATGTTGCCTTTAATGCATCAGCGGCAATCGGTTTCTAAGTATCGCTATAACTTTATACTTGCGTTGAAAACAAAAATAAAAGCTGTCCATGTTTCCACTAAAACTTTTAGTAATAAAATGAGAAGGAAAAAAGTAGCATGCTGGCAATTACAAAAAGGTTGTTGCCAAACTGGACAAGTGCGAAAATTACCGACTGAGACACCAAGAAGTTATTTTTACAATTCTTTGAGTTCAATAGACAATTTGGCAATCATTTATTTGCATAAGCTCATTGGACGCAGCTACAAGTGTTAGTATATTGTCGTTGTGCAAATAAATGTTGACAATAAGAAAAAAAAATAATTAACTCAAGTAATTCTTTGTAGGTAAAACAATTTTTAGAAAATCCAGTTCAGAAATTAAGAGGTGTTTTCAACACTTGTTATATAGCAGAAGAGTTAGAAATTTACTACTTAAAGGTTGGGTAAGTCCCTATCAAATGTTTGTGTTTCACATATCATTTAATTTGTTTAATGATTTACTGTTTATATAGGATCAACAATTAACCAATGTGGATGAGTCTTGCTGCAAAAATTTACAGAATCTTTTAAGACTTCGCGAACAACTACTTATAGATCGAACAATATATTTGAATTCTTGGTTTGAAATACAAAAGGAACGGTTAAGGTCTAAAGGATTTCTGGCACAAATTTTAAAAGTTAAAGAAAAACAGCAACGACTTATGCTTAGAATGGAAGAGGAACGACAATATTTAAAAAGGTATGCTGCTTCAAAATAGATAATATATATAAATACGCTTACGTAAGTTTTATTATACATATATACACTAATTATGTATACCCAACACTATTTTTAAATCACACGGTTCACAATTTAAATAAATATAATTGTTTTACGTGTTTTTTTTTGTTTTTTCACGAATTAAAAAAATTAAATTTTTAAAATGAGCTTGCGATGACGTAAAAAAGATTGAAAGGATCTCAATCTCAATAGTTTCAACAGCCATTCAAATCAGCTGTTTTTATAGCGAGCACTCAAAAACAAACAAACGGAAACCAAATACAATTTTGGAACACACGAATTTTATTTTATTTTCTTTTTGTTAAACGAAGTTTAACAAAGCATTCTATATGCAGTATTTTTTTAGTTAAAGTGTTGAAAATAAAAATAAAAAAATTCATGGAGTTGGTGTTGTGTAAACTTTTAAAATGTATCTCAATTTTTTCTATAATAAAAGTAATATTTAGTTAAGCATTCGGTCGAGAAGAACATGCAAACGACGAATATCGATAAAATGATGCAAGAAACCCTTTGGAATGAGGAAGATTTGATGGAAGTTATGACGATTGATTATAATGAAGACATCAATTATTACGAAGTTGAAGGTAAAGTTAGCTATTAACAGCTGATTTAATTCGTGAGAGCTTGATGTCTTTGCTATAAGTATAGAAAAATATATTCTCGCTCATGATCTTGACTGGAACATGCATCCAAATTTCAAAGTAATCTAAATTTGTGTGTAGCTGGATATAAAGAATCAAGAATTAACAGCTAATCACAGAGTATATAAAAAAATGCGAAAATAATTGTACTGCTAATTTTAATTTAAATTTTAATATGATGTACTTATCGACTGACACTTCATAAATAAAGTAATTTACATATGTTCTTGTATAAATGAATTGTTTTTTGGGTAACAACCCTTATTCCGGACAAACCGAAAAAACTTTCATGGTGAAGCCAAAAAATGTTAGCAGTCGTGAGACTTCTGTCGAAGATGCAGATATAAGAAAGAAGAAGTTTGCGTTCAACACTTCTTATGTCATTTCAAATTTCTGCTGCGATAAATTTAGAACAGCATAGCTGATTACTGAATATAAGTTGAAGCCTATAGCCAGTTTTTTATAAATGAGTACATTTCCTATTGATTTTCTTTTTTATGGTATACTTGGATTAAATGTATCTAAGTTGAGCACTCTCGACTTTTTCTTCTCATAATATCTATGCCTTCATTGCCTCTTTTCTTTAAATTTTTTAGATTACTGCGCTTTCATAAGGAAAAGTCAAGTTTAGTCACAGGAAAGTCAACAAATTTGCAAAGCCACTCAATTTTAATGAGATATCATAAGCCTTGTTATCTACCCACGTTTGCAGGAAAAACCTATAAGGACTTCAACAAAGCAGCTGTGCGTTGCATACTATTGCCATATGATATTTCCAGCTCAGCAATTTGTAAACAAATTGTTTGTAATTTACAATCAAAAAAGTTCTGGAAACAACTTAATAATTTACGGAGCCGAAGAACAATTAAAGATGATTCTACCTGTAGCAAACTTCTTATTTTCCAAATTAATCGCCAATTCAAAGATAAGAAAAGGCTTTCATATACAAGTTTTGCTGCTGCGCTACTAAAAGCAACTTATCTTAACGAAAGGAACTTTATTGAACAAGCAGCCATAAGAAAGTTATATAAAGATGATTCTCTTTCAAAACTAATCGTGAAATTTACATCTCTTAAATCTCATCATCCGGTTGCCAGATCTCTTAAAATGAGGTGCGAGCAGTGTCCACAGAAAAGTATATTTGTTGATGGAACGATCGCAATTTGTAAAGATGTAAGTAATTAATTTTATTCATACGAACTTATTACATTTTGCAGCACAAAAAAAAAGAACCACCTTCAATGGATAATCAAAGCTAGAGACAATTTTATTCCTTCCCTGAAATGAGCACGAAAAAAAAACTATTAACTATTAATGGGCTGATACTAAGCTTGCCTTTAAAGCAGTTATTTTACAACTGAAAATTAAAGTTTTTAGCGAACTGGTCGAGCGTTTCGATCAGAAAAAAGTACCTTTGATCATCGCCATCAAAAATGTTGCTTAAGTGACGAGACAGCCCTCTATCGAATTAAGCAGTTGACACCCTGTTGGTCGGGGAGTCTCTTTTCCGAAAGAGTCCTCAATGGCCCACCCTCCTGTAGGTGGCCTGCCTGCTGGGGTCCTCGCAAAGAACTCCCAAAGGCCTGGAATTGAGTACAGCTTTCAGCGCGATTAGAGTCGTCTGGAGCTCTTTTTCCGTTAAAAGCGGGCTCTATCGTGATCAGCTACTTTGGTCTTAATTTATTACCTGACCTAAACACATACAATTTGTTTATAATTCGTTAGGAAGTGGTCCAAAATACAAAAAGTTCACCCCATCTATGCGTTCGTGAACTTCTAAATTGGTCTCGACGATGCTTTCTAAGTACAATTATGCTATTGAATACAGAGCTTGTTCATTTTCCTCCACCTTCGGGTAAGTAAAAACTTGTCAATTTTTATTTTTTTGTTTTTATATTTTATCCAATTGAAAGAGTGCTATTTAAGCAAAAGAGAGGGATCCTATTCTGATATATACAAGCACTTTATCCTGGATATCACTTTTGAAGCATTAAAAAGGCACTTGAAAGTTATTAAGAAAGATCCTAAAAATGTGGTATGTTCGATTTCCCTTTCCAATATTCTAAGCTTGTTGCGTTGCAGACATTTTTCAATATGCAGAAATCAAATAAAAATTATTCTTCGAATCAAATCAATCAAAGGCAATCCGGATATCATTTGGCTCATCAGGATCGTTTTGAAAAAATATTGAATAACGAAGTATATAATGAAGACGTACGCTGGCAAAGCCATCATTATAAGGAATGCGAGCTTCTTAAACTATTGATTAATGAATTAATGGTGCAGTATATAAAACAGATTGTTAAGTGTGTATTGTTCGACAGCTTTTACCAGTGAATTATTTGTATTCCCTTAGTAGTTCAATCATGTTATTTCGGTGTCTCAATATACTAATAAACATTATTGTTATCTTACCTATTAAAAATGCAATATATAAAAAGCTGTAGTGGTTACATGTATACAATGGCAGTCAATACTGCCTTCCACATAGAATGTCCACGTTCGGATGCGAATTTCTATATTTCTTGCATTGCTCGGGTCGCCCGGCCTGGTCTGCGGCCATAGTTGGACTCGGCATCTTTTTCGGCGGTTCCATTCCCATTCCACCAAGACAAGCTTCGAGGGAGATATAGAAGGTCTTAAATAGACTTACGATGACCTAGGACGTTCACAACTCTGAGGAGGGAGTAGTCAACGAGTGCTCCTCGCACGTAGTAATCTAGTACTTCATAAGTAACCCCCACATTGGCTAACAATTGCAGTCATGCTGCTGAAACAACGAATGCTTCAGCTCAGCGCCCTGATCACAACCGTCAGCGGCGGTAACCTGATCCCTTGCATGAAATGTTAACATATTCATGAATATAACAATAAAATATACGAGGCTATAGTCGGTAGTTCCCGACTAGGGGATACCCTGAACCCTCTTCTACAAACACCAAATGAACTTTACTCGCATCACCAAATGGAATAAGACAGGCAGATATGTATGTAGTTAGGTTACCCTTCAAGAATCAAGAATCTAAGCTTCCAGGAAATCAATGTGTAGCTTAAGACATTAGGCCAGAGTCTACATACTTTGCTCCTACAAAATGAACAAAACATAACTAAAAAAATAAATACACACCAAAACTGCATAAAGTGACGCCCCGTTCCCTACCTGTTGGGTCAAACAAACAGAGACGAGGAAAAAACACGTCTGTCAATTAATTGCACTCCTTGCAATTCGATTTTGCCGCATTATTATGTTTTGTTTAATAATAAAACAAAAACCAACATAAATCCCAACACAAAATAGGGAAGGTAAAAGACGTATTCGGTTACGAAGTACCCGCTGCAAAGTACTCGTTACACTTGAGTAATTGCAAATTATTTGTAATCGGGAAGAAATTATTTATTCAAGTCACGTCCACATCCACATTAGATGACATATTAATAAATATATATAATTTATTATGCATCGTTCTAGTGAATTTCATTTAAATAATTAAAATAAATAAATATTTTTTATGAGTTTTTTGTTTTTTCCTTGGTTTCTTTTAAATAAAAAAACCCACTTCATCCAAACTAGACCGATTCCATCGTTCCAATAAATCTTATTTGCTTAATTTAAATAAACAATTATTTACTCTGTTTCTTATAATTTGCCAATTGCTAGACTGAAAGACTCAGTCAGTTCGAGGCAAGTCGTTTAATGAGAAACGTTCCGCTAAAAGAGCAGTACGACTCCGTGATCTAGGGACTTGTACTGGACTTGGATCATATAAAGCAAATCCCTCCTAGAGACGACTTCAATAAATTTTATCTCCCTCATCACGCTATATTTAAACCAGACTGCGCGTTATGTTTAACGCCTCCGGCTCTTCCTCAAATAGTAAAAGTCTGAAAAATGTTCTACACACAGGACCAGTTTTGTAATCCGATCTAGCCATCCAGATCTTGAAATGGCGTTGCTTCCACTATGTGTTCAATGCCGATATTACCAAAATGTATCGGCAAGTCCGTGTTGTCCCGAATCACACCCTATTTCGAAGAATCCTCTACCGGAACAGTGAGGGTGAGCTCTGTGATTATGAGCTCAACACCTTTCGTGTCAACTGTGCTCCCTTCCTGGCAATTCGGGTCCTGCAGCAGCTGTCCACTGGCACTCACAATATCATTTGGCGAGAAACGGTATTTCAATTATATGTACGTCGACGACGTGCTTGCCGGGGCACACTAAAAATGGTGCTGTCCGAGTCATCGACGAGATCCGCACAGCTCTGAGCTCTAACGACAAAGCTGTGCTCATTAATCTTCCGAGAGAGCATCTACTCCGTGCCGATTTCTTGGAGATTGAAGAAGCTAGCCTTGCGAAGACACCGATGAGTTCCTCTGCGCCCCCTCCGACAACAAAGTGAAGCAATCCTATACAATAAGTGAGGTGCTTTCACAAATCGCCAAGCTGTTCGATCCAGTGGGATGGTTAGTTCCATTCGAGGTATGTGCTAAGATCTTCATGCAAGAGATCTGGCTTCATGATCTGGGTTGGGACCAATCCATGCCAAGTCAACTCCTCCAAAGATGGCAAGACTTCCTCGAGAGTTATGCAACTCTCACTAAGATACGCATCCCCAGATGTGTTCAATCTTCCCCTAAGGCCAAGTTGCAGTTCAATGGTTTTTGTGATGCGATCAGAGCGCTTACGGAGCAGCAATTTATACCCGGATTAAAACTGCCCATTCTGTTTTAGTTCACCTGCTGACAGCGAAAACCAGGGTCGCTCCTGTGAAGACCATTTTCCTTCCTCGCTTAGAGTTGTGTGACGCAGTCCAGCTTGCGGTAATGTGCGCAGCACTCTTACCACAGCTGTCTGTCTGTCTTAACCTGTATATACTATTCTAGAAGCTACATGTCAAGTTGGGCTAGATTTAAAAACCTAAGAGATTTGCCTAAAAACTGGATTTCGATATCGATTATTATCGATTGCTTGAAAACGGTGAAAGTCCATACTTCTTACACGGACGGTCGGACGGGTAGGCGGACAGACGGACATTATTAGATTTGCTCGGCTATTGATGCTGATGAAGAATATATATCCTTTATGTTACATACATTTGCACAGATACATTATACCCGTTCAAACCATGTTTAATGCGTTCAGGTTATACAAATAAATATATTTAAAAAATTAAGAAATTTATTAAAAATATTTATTTATTGAATCTTTGGTTAATACATATTGGTTAATTTGTTGTGTATAGTATTTCCGGTCAAATTAGTTTTGGTTAAGTTTCGTAAAATAAACTTCGATTGGGAGTTTTGGTAAATCAGTAGTATGGACGAAGTTCGAATGGTTTACAATCGGGGCATCTAATAAATGTAACTTTCTGTTACTTTTACCATTATTATTTGATATTGTCATAATAGCAGATTCTTCTGCAAGCGCTGTAACTTCGTTAACCGCGTTTGAACGACCCAAAATTACGCTAGTGCTTGCATTAAATAGCTGTGCGTTGCGTAATTTTCGCCTATCGGTAAAGTTGTATTGGTTTTCCTCTATTTGGGGCTCTATCTTTTTTGAGCTTTTAGTATTTGCTTGTGTAAAATTCGATGCATTTAATACTGTTGCATTTGCATTCAATACTGTTGCATTTGCATGTAATTTTCGACGTCTTAAATAAAAATGCTTTGTTTTATTTATATTTTTAAATTGCGTAGACTCGGTAGTGCTAATGGACTTGGAATTAAGAGACCCGATATTTTTTTGGTTTTGTGCTTTTTTAATTCTAAGGGAAACGAATTTATTATCTAAACGGTCATCCTTTTTTAAAATTGTTGATGCGTTTTTTGTCGTAAGATTATTTAATATCTTTTCATTGTAATGCGTGATGTTGCTTAATGATTTATTCTCACTGCTTAACTGGCTTTTCCTGCAGTTATCGCACTTTTTTTTATTAAAGGTATGTAGCCTAGGTTTCACTCGGGATGATAAATTTATTTTTGAGATACTGCTTGTCTTATTTAATATTTTATTCGGTATATTTGTTGCTCCTGCATGATTTAATGTTGTCAAATCAACAATTTCTTTGGGTATGTCCCTTTCGGTTTTTGTAAGAAAATTTGAATGTTGAAGTTCCGCAGTTGTTGTTTCAATAATAGTTTCAGTGGATTTTATTGGCTCAAATTTGAGAATATCATCATACAACATCTTGACATGTGCAAGTCCCGCACTTGTTGTTTCAATAATAGGTTCAGTAGGTTTTATTGGCTCAAATTGATGAATATCATCATCCAGCATCTTGACATGTGGAAGTCTTGCAGTTGTTGTTTTAATAATAGTTTCAGTGGATTTTATTGGCTCAAATTTATGAAAATCATCATCCTGCATCTTGACAGTTAACTTATTTGCAAATATTTTGTCTTCAGCGATGACCTGTGGTTGCGATTTATTTTCGTCCACATATTCCGGATATGCTTTATATTTGAAGTTTTCGGGTGAATAAGGAACAATGACATCATCGAGAGTAAAGTACGTATGTGCTACGAATGGTTCATATGTCGCGTTATTTTGTGGCATAATGTTTGGAATACTTTCGGCAGCCTTAAAATAATTCGAAACGTTTGTGTTATCTCTGTTCACAGGTAATGTTAAATTAGTTAGTTCATTACAATTTGTTAGGCTTTTATGGTCTGAATGAATAGTTTTTAAATTTGTATTTACTGTTGTCTTTGGTGCTGATGTCGAAGGTAATTTAGCAGATCTTAAATATGTTCTCAGAACTTGCGGTGACAAATAACCATCGTAGGTATTTTTAAACGGGTTCCTAAAAGACAAAAAATTAAAATTTAAGAATTTATATATTTACTTTATTAAACAGATTAGCCAATTGAAATCTCAATGTTTTTTTATCGTAAAAAATAGGTGTAAAGCTAATAGGTAGCTTTACCTTATAATAGATTTTAAGATTTTGCATGTGTCTTAAAAAAATAACAAAACTATTTGCAAGGCTATACAAATCGAATGTTAATAAATACCTTATTTGGAGTCCATTATACGGACTATGTTCCCGTACATTGGTATATCCATGCGTAACTAAAAATTTTCCCACACGTTGTTTTTTGGTGGGCATTGTTGGAATTCTAGTCGGATACCAGTACAGTTTTCTATATTGACTTGGGTGTTTGTTACTTATTTGATTGTACATAAGAAAAGCCTGTGGATCAATAGACCACATCTGCAATATAAAGAATACAAATATTAGCAAAATCATGAAAACTCGAGCAACAAAATGCTATTATGCGCTTGATTTTCACAAAAATTTAAAACATTACTTTTGTTAACCTTACCCATTTAATATAATGAAAAATAATACAGACTATAATTACAGTTGCACAATGGTTTACAAGTCATAATAATATAATTCAATAGATGCAAGCTGTTAAAATTGTACTTAACTTAAACACATTATTATACATACCCCTGCATTTTGTCGAATATTGTCTGCGAAAACCCTTGTTATAAATAAAAGGGTTATTGTGCCTGAAACAAAGTGAACATAATATTACAATAAAATTAACACAATGGAAACAAGTAGGAGGCGCTAGTCGGGATTTCCCGACTAGGTGATACCCTGAACCCTTGCGCTGGAATCGATGAGTGCTTTCTGATCTCTACCAAGTTAATGAATGAAGAAGATATAGTTAAATGGCATGTAACTTGTAAGATGAAGCTACATTTGGCAGCTCTTAAAACCTAAGAGATCAGCTCAAGAACCATGATTTCGGAATCAAGTCTTATTGATTGCTTGGAAACAGGGCAAGTTATTGATTATCGGAAACTTGTACCGCGGGCAACGGACGATCTACGTTCAATTTCAAGTCTCTTGCTCTCCTAGTTTCTGGACATGGCTAGATAGACTCGGCTTGTGATGCTGATCAAGAATATATATACTTTATGGGATCGGAGATGCTTCTTTCTGCTTGTTGCATACATTTGCACAAATACATTATACCTTTTATACCCATTTTTAATGGGTTCAGGGTATTATAAACGATTGTGATGTAATTGTTTTTTTCATTTGCATGCTTATACAGTTATATTAAGAAACTGATTTGACAATTTTTATACTGTTCTAATGTAAATTAAATCTCTTATAATTTTTTTTATTAAGAAAACTCCGTGTATAAATCTTTCCTGGAAACATTTATGAATGAGAAGGAAGACTCCATTGACGCCGATAATTTATGCTCATGCTTCCAGAAGCGCTGAAAAAATGCATGCGTCAATTCCTACTGTCTCATCATTCCAGGAATTAATATAGCTTCGCGTGTCCGCCGTCCGCAACTAAATAAATTGTAAATAATTATAATTTTAAAGTAGAAACTCGCGTAATATATAATTATATATACATACTCATATGCTCATTTATGTTTTAAAAAATGATTGGTGATCATCGCACAGCCCAAACCGTATAAGGTAGGAATAATAGCTTTTCACTTTAGTTACGTTTTGTGATGGAGGTTCACGTTTAAACACTTGCGAAAAATATTTGTATAAAACTTCTTTCTTTACCATTCGATTGGCCTCAAACTACTTTTCAAAGATCTTGGTTCAAACTCAGTTGGGGTGTTTTATAGCTTTTGGTCAATCCAATCATCCTTCGTATTAATAGGTTTAAATATTTGGTGGGTGAAGTTTATTTTTCAAATTAATATCCAAGGCTCTATATGAACATTAGTTTGAGACATTTTCAGACTTTATGCAATATTCAAGCTTCCTCAATGGAAAATGACAGTCAAAGATTTTTTGGGGGAAGCATCCAGGTTTCATCCGACCGTTTTTAAACTAAATTCTAAAGCCCTACTTATTAAATATGTATATGTTTCAGCAATTTGGAAACTCCAGCCGTAGCTTTCCACCGGATCGCATTCAAATTCAAATTCAACGATCCTTTCGAGATATCCACCAATCTCGGAGGGAATTTGCGGGTTTAAAGTAATGTTTAATGAACGAAAGTTTATTTTGCGACTTCAAGATTCTCACCACAAGACTAACGTGGGCGGAATGGACTTTAATGTACTTTAAACATATTTTTAAATGGATTAAATATTAAATTTCATTTCTAAAATGTAAAGCACAGAGCTTGTTCCATATTATTATTTTATAAAAATTAATTTATTTAAATTATAAATTTACCAAGACATATATGGACAATGTTGAATGTTTGAAAAAGTTTTGTGAACATGCTGAACAGCTTCTCACTGCAAGAGATTTAAGACTAATCAGCACCAGACCAATAAGTTTCAAATGAATTTCCAACATGTATACCCTTTAAGTTTCTAATTCCTTATAAATATAAATAACAACAAGGGTTTCTTTTATTTTTTAAATTACTTCCCCATTATTTGACAAATTTAGATTAGGATCGAAATGATTTAATCGTATAACTCTTAATTAAATAAATATTTAGTTTTACGAAAGTTCTTCTATGCTAATAGGAGTATGCAAGGCTTTAAATCTATGGGACCTTTGCAAATTATTGCTATATCCTGTTTGAGTGTCCTAAAAATAGTTGATCCCTAAATATATGTATTTGCAGGTAGGCGCAAATAAAGTTGATAATGAAAGATTTCTTAGCTTTTGGTATGGGGTATCTTTGCGTTCAGTATTTTTAAACATTATTACTCGTGAAATTGTATGTGCCATGGACCATAACATCACATGCATGGTCGAATTTCACTTGTTTTCTTGTATTTTCTTGTATTTTTTGCCTTGCTTCGTACCATGCTACTTATTAAACATCTAAGATGCTCTAGTCGGGAGTTTCCGACTAGGGGATACCCTGAACTCTCTTCTGCCAACACCAAATGAGACTCGTGCTATGAGCTCGTTTGGTTTGGCAGTAATAAAGAAAAATGTATGAAAAAAAAATACGTATTCGTTTTTCTTATATTTCTGTACTTATAGGGGTATCCGGAAACTATTTGATCAAGGTGGTATTTCCCAAAAAAAAGCCAACATATCACATTAATATAAGACTTTAATTTACACCAAAGATTAAAACTATTGTAACCATATTTATCTAATTACAACACATTAAAACATTTACATTTCTATATAATTTGAAGCATACAATGAGCTTAAGGCCGAGTTGCCATAGATCAATTAAAAAATCAGCTTTTGTTGCCATTTGGACAAGTACATAAGCTACATATAAATAAATTTAAATAAATTTGGTTGTGTGTACTTTTGTATTTTCATGTCAGAAAAAATGTAAAAAAAACTGTGCCCATACTCACCAGGTTTGGGGGAATCCCACATTTCACTTAAGTTCACAAAATGTATCAGATAAATAACTAATCATTTTCTTTGAAGATCGGAGCCACGCTCGCTATCATTGAGAGCATATGAGAGCATGTTCGGTAGGGAGCTCAGGAAGGGCTATCGGACGGACCGCAGCTTGAAGGTACCAATCGGACTTCTATATAACTTCAGATTTTTATTGATAGATAAGTCAACTCGGTACGGTAAACATAGCCAACAACCCAAGTATCTGTGATTGACGCGTTACACAGACTGTCTAAAACGCAATTGGCCCTAAAGATAAAGAAAATATGTATTAATTATTTTATTGGCTGGCGCGAGGTCCGGATTTATTTGAAAGTTGAAACAATTTAGTTTAATATTTCTCTTTATTTTAATAAACCCGCAACTCGAGCCAGCCAATAAAATAAATAAAAATGGAATGGTCGCCTTGGCGACCAGTACTAAAAAATGTATTATTTATAAAGTAAAAGCTGCGTTTTTCGCCCATTTACAAATTCCCCAACTTTATTTAGCTCTTATAACTTATTTTTAGTGAATGTAGGGTTTCATATGTAAGTATTATACCATAATAAGTTGAATAAGTTATGTTACCGATATTCTTAGAAGATATAGTATTTAATAGATTAAGATTAAACAAATATATTGCAATGCAATGACAAAAACAGCTATCTTCGAAACCCCAATAGTTAGGAAATTCATCCTACATGATATATTACTCCGATATAAATAAATAGGTGTTTAAAATTAATATATTTGTAATACACAGAATTTATATTTATTCACAACACAATACAAGTAGGTAAAATTTATATTATTTTATATAATACCTTGTGTATGATGAACTCTTTTTATCTGCGTATTGAGCTGTTCAACGGCAAGTATGGCGAATATGTGGGATACATCGGATTAGGTTGAGTAGCTCTTTGCAATACGCATGCGTCTTGATACTGAGATTGCATGTTCATAACACCCATTTGCATTGGAAGCTGAGAATTTGCATATTCACCACCCGAACTATAAGCTGATGTGGGAGGACTCTGCTGAGGCGACATTCTGTAGCTATTGATGGCCCCATAATGTGACATAAGATTTGGACTGATGTGCACATTGGCTGTGCGATTATTTGAACTGCTGCTAATTGCCGCTGAAGAGTGTTGTATAGGGGCGGACGGCGTGTTTCGAGTATTTCTATTAGTGTTCTGAGTTGCTGTGCTCGGCGTAATGTTCATGTTGCTGGTGTAATATTTATATTGTAAGGGTGTTACTTGTGTTTGCAACATATTTGGAGGTGTAGAAACATTTCTATTTTGCATTAATAAATGTGGAGGCGGGGTCATAGAATTGGGTGGAATCGGGTGGTGTGGCGACGGTGTTAAATTCGTTTGGGCTCCTGGGGATGTATTACATGGCTGAGATTCAAGGCAATTAGTAAGTTGTTGAAGTTTTGAAAGACTACATAAATGTCCAACTAAAGATGGTGTGGTGCCGCCACTGTTTGATGATATGGACTGTTCATTATTAGCTACGGACGATGGGGGCCCTAATGAAGTGGCGACTGGTATACGAGATGTGTTTGATACAATGTCATTTGATGGCATGTTATTTTGTAAATAGAAATTATTTACAGCACAAGCTGATGACGGTTGTTCAATGCGTTGGTGTGCATTTGGAAGGGAGTGAACTGAGCTATTTAGCGACATTCTCTGTTGAATCACAGCTGGCATTCCAACTATGTCATAATTTGATGGGTTTGTCGAAAAATTTTGAGAAATTTGCGGAATTGGTATGTAATCCAAAGGTTGCATGTTCTGCTGATGACCATGCTGTCCACTTGATTGCGCAAACTGTAAGCTACCTATTCCATCTTGTTGAGCTTTAGATATATTTGAAACACTGCTTTGGGAGTGTTGGTGGTGAGAATTTTGTGAAGTCCCTCCTGTTGGAACTTTAGCATCACGTTGCTGAGAATTATTTGAAGAATTGCTATTCCGAATTTGCTTCGGTGTAGGTTCTCGATGTGATGTTGTCGGGGAATTCGCAACAATATCCGGCTGAAAATAAAACAAGCACACAAAAAGATTTTCTTTTAGTTTTTGATGTCGAAAATTACAAAAACAGTTCAATGTTCTGTGTTGTGCGCTAGTAAGGAGTAACCGACTAAGATATATACTGGGAGGGTTAATAGAAGAAGCACAGCCGTAGTTATAGACGGCGTGTGTGCTTGTTGTGAGGAAAAAAGTTTGGACAGCAGATTGGTGCTGGGTCTAGGGCACTCCCGACTGACGGACTCTGGTTCTATTTATAAAATTAGTAATGTTTCTTAATAATTACCTGCACAGTTAGTTTCCTATTTTGATGTTGATGTTGTGAATTTCCTATTATATTCAAGTTTGGAGAACCTTCTGGAGGCAAGTTCATATTTATATTGTTTTGTTGTTGGATATGTGAATTTTGGATTGACATGTGCATAGGTGTTGTTGCTGACTGATTTTGCATTGAACAGTCAGAAAACTGTCTGTGCATAAGTCCATTGGTGTTTTCAGATCCATGATTAACAGAACTTCCAATACCTGCGGGAGAGTCCATATTTATTTGGACATTTATTCCACAGTCATAGTGCTGTATGGGCGCGTTAGATGATGCTTCTGAGGTGTATGCCATATTAGTATTTACACCAGGTTGACCGCCGACTTGCAAATTTGAGTGATTAACTGATTGCAAGATTGGTTGGGTCACTTTAATTTTCTCCTCTCGCGAAGCATCTAATGTTATGTTACCGCTTTGTTCTGGTTTTTGTTTTGTGGGCAAGGATGATGATTCCCGGCTTAATGAACTTGGTATTAAAATTGTTGATTCTGTTTGATTAGAATTGGTAGGTCTGGTTATAGTGTTCTGCGCATTGTCTATGGATTTAACTTGTTGTGTGTGATCGGTTGTTTTAAACAGTTTTTGTTGATTTGTGCACTTCTGATCAAACATATTCGATTGATTATTAACATTATAATCATTACAATTATGTGAATGTCCTTCATCTCTTAAATTATTGGCAGAGCTAATGGAGGATACTTGTTTTGACAAATCTTCTTTTTTCCCTGCTACTTTTCTGTCAACCTTCTGTTTATCCTTTGTATGGTGCATTTGGTGATGAGCATGCATTGCTAAATTAGCCGATTGGTATAGGTTTTGTGTGAAGTTATGTGTATATGCCATAGTAGTTGCGAGGTCTTTATGAAACTGTTTTTGACCCTTTTGCGATGCTGGGTCTAGATTACAAAGATTATAGCTGTAATAGTCCCATTGCCAATATTGAGAAGTATGATGGTAGTTAGGCATTTGATTTATTGGGAACTGAGACGTTATAGGGTTTTGTAATTGAGAATGTTCGTTGTTTTTAATTTGAATCTTATCTCGTATAGGCAATGAAGTGGACGCGACACGTAAATTTGATTTGTCTTCTTCCTTAACTTGTAGTAATTGGGTCGCTTTATTTATATCCTTTTCTGAGCTTATATTTGTTTTATTTGGATTAGAAGCATCTGGTTTTTTGCATAACGTGTTCATATTTTCGGACTTTGCAATGCAAGATTCCATAACTGATTTTTTATTTATTTTCTGTTTTATATCAGTCTCTTGCATTACAGACTCCAGAGATTTTACAGGGCTTATTTTTTCGGTATTTGTATGTGCTTTGTCGATTTCACTGTTTGACTGTTTACTGCAACTACTCAAAACTTTTACATGAGACATTTCAGTTTTGCTAGTTTCCATTTTTTCAGGAGAGCCAGTGTGCTTAGTATCAGTTTTATCAATTTTGGCTTTTTTGGCGCAAACTTCAGGGGCTTTGGAAGAATTACTTCCAGATGCTGGGACCACGACGGATGATTCTTGAGCAGCTTCAGTTGTAGTGGTACAATTTTTTGAAGTTTGGTCATCTAAGTTCTGTTTTATTGGGTCATTGTTTTCCAAGCATTTATCATTTACAATAGGTACCTTAGTTTCAGGTTTTTCAACTATTGGTAAAACTTTATTAACATTTTCAGATGCAAAGGAATTACTTAAAACTTTTTCTTCAAAATTGATTTCAGAAGAAGCCACCGCAATAGGGTCTGGTTGTAATTCGATATTGTCTTTAACTTTGCATTCCACTTGGCTGCTAAATATAGTTTCATCAGCTTTAAGGCTTAGCTCAATTTTACATTCTGCTGTTACATTGTCATCGATTTTTGTCTCGAATGAAGCCGTATCGGAAAACAATGCTTTCTTCGTTTTCTTTGCAACGGCATCTAAGACTTGCTCATTACAGAGTTCAGTGGAGTTCTTTTCTTTTTCCATTAACTGCGGGCTAAGCTCAACTTCCTGTTTTTCTTTCATTACCTCGATCACTTGAGCATTATCACATTCGCTTAATGTAATTTTATTAGAGCTTTGACCGGCGGCCTTAGTTTCTTCATCTCGTTTTCCATTTGATTTTTTACCTCGCAGTTTTGGTACAATATTCACAGGCTTCATAATATTTCGACTAGATTCTTGGACAGCAGCTCTTTGCAAAGTAGAACATTTGTCTAAGCCCTCCTTACAATTCTGTTGATCGTTTTGGTTTGGAATATTATGCTCCACACTATCAATATTATTTTCACGTTCAAAATGTTTTCTTTTGTTAGTATGAGGAATCAAGTCTTTTCGCTTAGCCAGACGTAGCGCTCGTTTAGTCAACGCATTGTATTCCGACGACTCTGACGACTTTTTAGAATATTTACTGTCAGAAGAGTCTGAGTTTTCTCTTTTATCATCAAAAGGACGTTTACACCTTTTTGCATCATTTTGTGTTAATTGTGAAGTTTCAGAGTATATGCTCTTTTTAGAGTAACTTGAAATACTATCGGTATTTTCAGAGGTCGACTTGTAAGGTTTTTCACAATCTTTATTCAAATCTTCAAAAATCTCAGTTTTCGAAGACACTGGCGTCTTTAGGTTTTCCTCAGTTCTTTTTTTATACGAATATTTATCATCTGAATTTTCAATGAATTGAAAACTTAAATATTCACGATTTGATATAGGTCGTATATTAAAATTGGGCGATTTTGAAACTGCCATTAACGGACTCCATCTTAGACAATCTGCTTCAATTGGAATTCGTGTTTTGCTTTGAGCCGTTTTGTTATAATGTGACAAAACCTTTTTCCAATCTATTTTCACATTGATTTGAAATCTAATGTCGCCATCATTTTTTCTTAATTTGATGAAGTTAAGTAGCTCGAATGCCAGTGCAATATCAGAAACAGCTAAGCCGGTTTTTATAGCTATATCTTTAAATGTTATTGTTTGGTTATTTCTGTACTTATACAAGTACTCTAATACAACCGATTTCCAGTATGAAAAGTATGATAGACGACCGAGATCAGAAAGTGGTTTCTCTGGAGTTCCCAACTGACCTTCTTCTCGGCTGAGTAAATAACTAAAGTCTATCAAAAATCGGCCATAACCTTGTCTTTGATACTGAGGCAGGGTCAGAATGCACGATACATTATACTTTTGAGAGCAGTGCTTTTCTTTCGAAAAATATCCAACAAGATGACAGCCAACTTGATCATTTTTGGTCAATATATAAAATAGAAATGGTTCTACATCATAATAAAGAGTTTTATGATCCAAAAAAAACTTTGCAAGCAGACATAAGTTTTGACAATAAATCTTGTTCACATTGCCATCCACTTCAAATACAGATATATCGCCTTGTCGAAAAATTTCAGTTCCAGGCGGTTGCTTCCAAATACATTTATTTTGATGTCTATCCAATACAGATCTACTTTTTGTATACTTAAGGCAAAATTCACATAAATACAGTTTTAACAGCCTAAAAGTAAAAGAAAAAATTTTATCAAATAACAAAAACTAATATATTGTGCAATATCGCTCTCAATTTTGTGAAAATGAAGCTGCATAGAAGCATTTTTTGTATGGAGTTACTGATCTTAGTTATTATAAATTAGTTATTGTCTTTGGTATAATTAACAATATAAAAAACATAAGAGTGATTTTTACAATTTGGTTTTGACCTGTGTAATTAATGATTACAAAAATAATAGTAGTTTGATGACAATAAATGAGCATATTTTTATTTACCTCGCATATTCCTGTGGAAATGGACTTGAGTACCATGTTTCAATATTCCATTTTCCCATTTCAATCGATTTGGGACTTTGTCCACAATGAATCAGAGAGTTACTTTTCTCAGTAGATATTTCGGAATGGTTTGTAGAAACTTTCATAACAGCTTTTTGCAGGACTTCTTGATATAGGTTAACGTCAAACTGATTAACGCCAGGGGGTAGATGTTGATTTTCTATAAATAAAAATTGTATTATTGGTTAGCTAATTTTTTTGTGAGTGATCTCTCTTAGTGGGAAACAGTTATTTTCTTTTATCTTCGAGTTATGCTAGACTTATTTTTGAGAAAAAATTGGCTTTCGGTGACCTAAAGTTAATGATTGCACTCACTTAACTTAACAGAGGCCTTATTATTTCTTATTTATATTTTGTATGGTATTTTAAAAAACCCGCTAGTATATATATATGTATATTATTGTAACATACCAAACGGCTTACTTCGGCTTGTAGATTTAACATTTTGATCCTTTTCATTTTCCATACATAAGTAATCAGTTCTTTCATCTAAAGCTTTTTTTCGTGGTTCTTCAAACTGATCTTTTGCATTAATCATTTGGCATCTTAAAACAGTTTCTTTTGTGAGATACGGAATATCATCATCATGTTTGCTGTATGATTTAGTACATTCAAGAGGCATAGACTTTAAAATTACCGTCCTTTTCTTTCCAATATTTGAATGGCTTCGCCTTGGGGGCAAATCACAGTTCGTGACAACATCGTCAGATTTATTGGATGCATATTTGGTAGGTTTAATGGGTTCGATGGCTTGATTAACTGAGGCATTGTTCGAATAGCTTATGCATTTAAAATGTTTTATATATTTGTTATCAACTGGATTTTTTGCAACAGCAGCAAATCCCCAATTTTCCGAGGATACGTCTTGTAAACTTGCGGTCTCATTTGGTGAAGATCGAAATTCAATTTTCTTTTCGTTTTCAAATATATTTTCTTTAAATGTACTTCTGTCTGTGTCATAATCTTCTTCATCATTATCGTCATCGCATTCAGAACTATCACTCGAGCTATCGCTTGAATCCGACTCAGAGCTAGAAGAAGTACATGAGTCTGAAGACGTACTATCATCTTCGCACGCAGCATTATTTTCATCATCGTCGTCATCATCATCATCGCTATCACTAGAAGTAGTCGTTGATGATAAATCCGAATATGTACGTTTTCGTTGATTAACAATGTGATCCCGATATAGTTTTCTTTGCTTTGTTTGAGAATCAACTTTTGTAAGAACGATGCAACTCTTTTTCTTTTGTTTCTGGCCGACAACATTTATGGATTGTTGTGACGTTGAAGGATTTTCTGTACGTTCTTCCCTTTTGATCATCTGACGTTTGCAATTGGAATGTGGTTTTTGGGAGGCATTAGAATATGGGACAATTCTGTAAGTAAAAATTCATTACAATTTACATTATTTAAAAATTAAAATTTTGGTCGTCATACCGCACTGATTACATGTACTATATTAATTATTAATCTCATAAAGGATTAGAAGAACTGTTGCAGTCGGGTTAAGCCGGCTCCTTAAAAATATTTGATTTGACTTTGGTCTTGATGGGAAAAAAAATGTGGGATTAATTTATAGTCACTAATTACCTTAGTTGCTTTATCAGCTGTAGTTTTTATAACATCGATACGAAATTCGATAAATCATCGCAATAAATACGAATTACTCGGAGAGAATATCAATATTTTTTGGTTATGTTACAATTTTTGCGAATTTGAAATAATTTGTTTCTTATACCGATATACCGCAAATCGAAAGACATTTATTGTTAACAATGTGAACCAGTAAGAACATTGCAACCGACTGTCTAAAACTGTGTTCACGGTGTAAAAACATTTTAAGCAGGTCCAAAATACTTTTTGTTACATAAATGGAGACTGGTACCTCAAATAAGACCGCATGTAGAAAACCAAATGCTTAGTTTTTTACTTACCTATCATTTCCATGCTCTAGTTTTATGTTTCCTGTGTCCCTCTTTAATGATTTTGGATGATCAACGTTTAAGCACGATTTGCATCTGAAATTTAAATAGTCGGAGTTATTTAATAAGATTACAAATCGAGCTCAAGTTTGGGGCAACTAGATTTATTAGATCAATTTGATTTAAAAAAATTGTGGAAAATTAAATTTTCTATGACTGTGAGGCCAAAACAACGAATTTTTAAATGTGACGAGAATATTAATTTTCCTTTCAACAAGTAAAATATTCGTAATAGTTTCCCAGAATGTCGCCTTCATACAGACCCACAAACAGAAGGACGACATCAACATATGTCACAAAATGTATTTATTTGTCATTCATTCCACGACTTTGATTATTTATTATAATTTATATTTAATATATATACTTTAACTTTATACTTTCTTTCAATGAGTTCTTGAGTCCGCGTCCGCGGTTTCTTTATGTCTGCTCTGCTCAACATTAGAAATCAGACTATCGATAATTCCTTATGGCTAAAAGCAAGTAAGAACATTGTAGGTAAGAGTAACCGACTGCTCAATAAGCTGTTCACCATCAGTGTAATCAGTCGTCGAAAGCATTAACTATATCACATATATCGCCCACGCGGAGACTAGCGAGCCATATGCTTTGTGTGACAGAGCGGCATCGCTTTTATTTCGCTCCCACTACAGGACATTGCTTTAACTTCTTCTCAGTGTTATCAATGCTCTGCCAATAAAAATGTAAGCTTTGTTTGGATCGATCCTTTGAGGTGGAGCTTATCAGTTGTTTTCAGTCAAAATTTCTTATTGCTAGCTTAACTGCTCGTATTCCCAAAACACACAAAGAGTCCGGTAATTGATAAACAAAAATGTATCGTCCACAAAAAACCAAGAGGCTCGTTGCAAAATTCCACAAAGAAAATTATATAAAAAAGTTTATTGTTTTTTTTTTTTGATTTCGTACCGGGTGGCCGGTAATTCAAGAACCTGGATTGAATCTTTCTTTATAGTAGCGAATAGTTTTACTTATACTCGACCTAATGTTTTTCGTTTATATTTTGCACTTATACCATAAAAGTTTAACATTGTCAGTTAACTTACCGATATGGATGCTTGGGCTTTTTGTCCGGTACCGTGTCGAGGCAGGTCAAATGAAAATGATTTTTGCAAGCAAAACACTGCAAAAGGCATGGACCGCGATTGCGTAATTTGCACACAACGCAATCGGCACATTTCTGACAGTTCCATAAAGATCCTTTAGTAACAAGCATATAGAGAAGCACATAAGATTGGGATTTGCATTTTCCCGCAATATTTGCACATGTAGTATGTAATGATATTCCACATTGTTTGCAGGAGCTAAGAGGTTCAGGAATGCCATTAAGATTTTTTTGATAATTACCGGAGCAATGTGTACAAGTTTCTTCTCCTTTTATAACTATCTCTGTTTCTGGTACAGATTTTCGAGGTGTTGTTAGGGATTTCCCCTTTTTGTATAACTTCCCTTCCTGTATTAGGAAGCCAGTATCAACAGCCTTTTTGATTGATATTTTTATTACAGTTTTAAAATCCACATTAGGAGAAAGTTCAATGCAGTTAAACTTTTGAATATAGTTTTCTATATTTTTAATGGTAGATCCCTCACATTCTCCCAAATCATTAACTGCTTTAGCTACCACTTTATAAAGATTTGTACTCTTATCAACTTTTATTCGCCTTTTCGCCATTGGCGCTTTATATGAATGCAAGCCTTTGTTGTATACTTTAATAACAGATCCAGATTCAACTGCTTTTTCTAATTTTTCAGCCACGATGTCTTCATGGAACTTGTGATGTGTTCCAATAGCCTGACAAATTCTCTGAACACTCGGTCTTTGTTTTTGCGACCGAATTTTGGATATTGCTTCAAGTATCCATTGTTTCCAAGTGTCCATACTGATGTCATGAGCAGATTCTCTCATTTTCTTACTTTTTACCTGTAAATAATATATTAATCTTTTTAAAATTAAAACCTTTCGAAGTTTTAATTCAATGAAAAAATTGCAATATTTAATTAAAGCTATACATGCACATTCTTTTGACAAAAAATTCTTGGATTCATCAAATATTCCATATAGACGTAGGTCAATAAATAAATAGGTCAACATTTTCCACCCGCATAACTTGTTCAAATCTCATCCGATTGTCACAAGGTTTGGTTCATTGTTCATGGTTTGGCCTCTAGATCAATTTCATCTAAATCCGTCAACATTATTCTGGTCAAAATTCATGTAATAATGGAACCCTCAATATAGATATAGGCCGGAATTTCCCACCTCCATAACTCGGCCAAAACTCAACCGATTTTCATAAGGTTTGGATCTTTGTCTATTTATTTTATACGTACCACTGGCAAGGCCGTGGTATACCTGCTTGTTGTTTATTTTCGGGTCGTTTATTTTCCGTGCCCGACTAATTTTGATACCGTTATTCACATTTGGATTCTTATTAGATTTGTAATTATAGATACATATGTATGTCGGGTTGACACAGGCAATAAGAATATACAGATCGTTGGGATGAAAAATATGCAATAGTATTATAAATAAATTCATGTATTTCAATTTTTCAACACCAGAAACTGTCATAATTTGCCGTTAAAATCAGCTAAGATCAGATATAACACAATAACTGGCTTATTGGAAATAAACAAATAACCCAATCAGCAGGTGTCTCTCTACTCAAATATAAATCAGCAATCCATACTAAACTCACCACAACATCAAACACATCTTCGATTCTTCTTTCTTACAATACATTCAGACTTCCTTTTTAATAGATGGCATGGTTCGGCAGGTTTTTACTGACGCGGTTGCACGTACGATTCGCTAACATTTTGTTTTCCGGCTAAGTATGAAAATGAACAGATCTGCCAAAGAATGTTTAATTGGCAGCACTGGTGAAAATGTACTTAAAACGAAGGAGGCATCGCAAACCTTATGAATTAGTATACACATTCTTGGTCAAGGCGTCGATCTGGAGTCAGTCTAGCCATGTCCGTAAGTTTGAGCACGTCAATCTCAGGTCATGTTTACTTTAAAATATTTATAAATAAATAAAGAGTGTCGATGGGGCATATCTTTGAAAGCATTAAGTCTTGACCGTAAGTATTGATCAAACTTTCTTATATTTGACCATTTTTATCGGAAGCCCAGCTTAGACTTTATACACTTGGTTACACAAAATAAGTAATGCCCAGTGGCAATACTTGCTATACACATACTAACATACATACGTATGTATAAACTTATGACATACATATGCGCGTAACGACACGCATCAGAATCAATAAAGAGATATTAAAGTGCACAATTTTGTCATAATGGAGCGGAACGATATCGCAAACGATATAGCAAAATAACACTAATTTCTTTTTGGATGGAACTTACAAAATCTTAATTCCCGATGCACCATTCACAAAGAATATTGTTTGATAATAAGTATCGTTTTTGGAAAAGTATGTTAACGTTTAACAATTCTAAGCTAAAAATATCGATAGGACATGTGCGCTATTGAAACATGGAATGGAACACTGAACAATTATTATTTATCTACTAGTCCCTTAATAGTCATCATAACTAATGTTCATTGAGTAATAAATGAAAAGATGGCTTTTGGATCATAAGCTCTTATTTAAAAAACTTTGTGCAAGACACAGAGGCTGCAAACGCAAATTGCACTTCTGCTGTTGCCAAAAATTCGAAGACAATTATTGGTTGGGATTAAGTTAACCAACGACACCTTGCATAAGGCAGACAAAGGTCCTCTATTCTTCCAATGAACTTCAGATTTTCATCGCTCATTCGGTGCAGATATGGGAAATTGTGGAGACTATCCAAAAAACAGTAATGTAATCCGACTGTCGATGGGAATTTTAACATATTTTAATACATTGCGATTTTTTGTACTTGCGAGATCTCTGTTGATTGGGCGGCAATTAATGAATTTGTTCGAATCGTTTGTGCAAGCATTTAAATTTTAGGATTTTCTGTTTTACTTGCTAGGGGCAATAACTTCTGGTTCGTTCCCTGCCTGTTTGCGATATGTTATATTCGATTAATGATCGAATATAATTAATTGATTGTGTGAAAATCAAACCGATAAATGTTTTTACCCAAATAATTAGATACATGTATGGTTGTGGTGTTGCTCAGTCTCTCATATCTTAAAGTGTTTTATAATGGTAACTGTTAATTCATAATATATAAATAAAGTTCTAGTTTCATTTCTATTTCTGAGAAAATTACTATACAATTAAACTGCTACTGCTAAAATTTATTTTTCATATGTACTGCATGTCTTACTGATTCGATACATACAGACATATGTATTTACAATGTGTTTACTTCACGCATATACAGTTCGTCAAGTAATTTTTTGCAAAATGAAAAACATCACTCAAATTCATGTTCAAACTTTTATTTAACGAATTAAACTATTTTTTCTTAACACTTGTTTGCATACAATTATTATTCTAAATGTTCTTCACATATGGCACAATAATTCCAAAATTAAGAACACAAAAGTAAAAACGCAGGCAAAACTGAACTTCGGCAAATATTGCGCTGTCCATTAATTCTTTGCTAAATGCAAACTATTGATGTATATTTAACTAAATCTAGGAAAATATAGCTATGGTGGTACCAAAGACAATATAAACACTAAGATGAGTAACGACATACAACAAAATGCTACTATGCAGCTTGATTTTTTGAAAATTGAGAACAAAATCGAAATCAGTATCATTGCGCTCTCCACAACTGAAAGAGCGAAAAACCTGAAAATAGAATGCACTCTCAGCTTCGGCTCGATGTACTTATGCATGCATAATTCACAAACACAAAGAAAGGTGCTTGCACGCCATTGGCTGAGACAAGAACTTCTCTCCAGCATACACTGCGCAAAAACAAACAAGTCTGAAGACATTGGCAACGGACACTGCTGACTCTTTTGTCTTATGACCTTGTATTTGACTCCCAACTGTATGAGCTTGGGTAAAGACGAGAAGTTTTGCCTCCGCACGAACAGGTTATATTCAGAGGCCATCTTCTCGTAAACCCTACTAAGTTTCCTTTCGGGGCTGTAGACAGTATGGTGCGTTCACGCCCGCATGTCCACCAAGTACTGTTTGAACACTTCACCATCTCATTGATGGCAGGCCCGGATTTCGTCCGCTAGCCGGTCAAAGTACCTCGGTGGCAAGAAGAACCACGAAAACCCCATCATAAACGCGATCCATGACGATTCGCGCAGTTCGCTAGTCATGAACCACCGTGCGGCTTCGTGCATCGCCTTTGGTAGCTTGTCCAAGTCGATGTCTTACGTTGCTGCCCGCTGCTCGAGGGCCATTAAGCAGGATACCGGATCTGCTTGTCCGTCGAACCGCAAACTCCACTTTCCTGCTCCGGCACGATGAAATGCCCTCTCGCTTCTGTTGGTGGGCGGGTTAATACTACCGGGGCGCCCACGGTGGGGCGTGATGATCTCCAACCGCTATTTTTATCGTCCGTGTCACTGGTTCTATAGGTCGGGATCTCGGGAGTTGGACCGTCTGTCCCAATCGGCGAGTTCGGACGGGGCATAAGTTTGCGGAAGTCGCGCATAGTTGGTCCACATTTTAGTTGAGTGCCAACCCCCAGAAACGAAGTTTACCAAACGATGTCGCAGATCTTCAACCCGCCCTTGCTTGCTAAGCCAGAACTCACGAGCGAGCGTCTTCAGCTCTTCCTTTCGACGTTGGTATATACTCACCCATATCTATCCTTTATCGGAATGGTACCAGAGTTACCACAATGCATGGTTGTGAACGTATGCATTGCGAACGTAAATTAAACAGATGTGTATTTATTTTCTCAAAAAAAAAAATGGGTAAAAAGGGTATAATAGTCATTCTATGATACGCGCATATCAGATTTGCTTAAAAGCCTTGATAGCTTGTCCGTCGGAAGTGCCTGACTGGACGATACTCGGAACCTTCTTTTACTGTGAACCAAATGCTACAACCAAAGTTTTATACGCATTTTAGGCCCGTGGGGACTAAATACATCCCTTTTTTCCCATCCAAGAGTTGTGGCTTTAGCGAAAGCGTAAGACTTAGAAATTCTCTCTAAATGAGTTTGAAGCTGATCGGATTGTGAACAAAAAACTGTAATAAAATCGTTTTCCGGAAATTTAGCACACTTGCGTGTGGAATTTCCAAAATCTTATCGATGGCTTTGAAAGTAGGCTTGAAGCCGATCGGGCGCAATTTAAAACTTACTTACTAAGACCGTTATTGAAATACATTAAACACGTGTTTCACACTTTTTCAGATATTATTTGGGATATTACGGATAAATTTAAATGTTCCACGGGCGCGATATGGATGAAAAGATGATGTCTGAAATTTGAAGCAAAAATCTGCAAAGGAATAACTGCTATAACATATTATATATTACAAGAAAATTCACGACATGGCCCGAGACGTATACAAAATTTTGCAAAATAAGAATCTGGTGTTTGTGAATAATACAAAATTGAATAAACGAATTCAAATATTGATAATTGCTGCTGAATTGGCTTGTTAATCCTAAGCCAATACAGCTTAGTCAGAAGGGTTATAACTAATCCTAAGATCTGTCAAAGCAAATTTTTTTTTAGGCAGACACAAAGTCAGCCTGTTAGATTGCCGCCCATTATCTGCCTATCTTTTTGATAAATATATTGATTAACAAGTTTTTTACAACTCAATGCATTTCTATTTCAAGGTAGTGTATTCGGTTGAGCAACAAGCTTATCCCGGTAGTGTACAGGTTTGGCAGAATTCGATTAGTTCAAAGGAAAGGTTAGCAAGCGGCTCCCCAGCTATTATTTACATTGGGGACCACATAGCTTTGACTTTCTGGTCTTGCCACAAATCTATGTCGACACTTGGACACCGCGGGTGCACAGATTTCCAGAAAATAGGTTTGCCAAGAAAGTTTAATTAGCCAATTGATGGCTAGTGAAATAGTTGAGGCTGCAGGTTACATGCTTTTTGGAATCTCTTCTGTAATTTATGGAATTCTTGAGAAATAGTAAGCTTCGTTGGATATTGTAATTCAAGCTTGACAAAGTCAGCACCCATCCTTGAATCTGTTTTTAAAAAACTTTTGACTCAGGAGGTATTGTGTATTCAATTAGATGGCTTCTTCAGAGTGGTGACGTGGACTTGCACAGTGGGTCGTTGTTGCCAAATGGAGGGTGAAACACAAGTTGCAGATTTTCTGACCTATGAGGTTCCATTTGCGCTATGTACTTCGAAATTCAACCAACACAGAGCGGCATTGGCCAGCTTTGATAAGGTTTGCCTGCCGACAGATTTTTTGAGTGTGTTTGGAGCAGCAAGCCGCAACTTCGGCGTTAGCTCGTGTAGCTTTTGGACTAAAAACAGACATTCGATGAACTTGATGAAAATCCATCCTGGAAATTTTGCCTTGCATTCAAGTGGATGTCCATTACTCATCTTGGAATTTATGTTGCCTTTGTAGTATAGTTAGTAATTATAATATAAACAATAAAATCATTTTCAACTAAACCAATTTCATTTTATTTTTTAACATTCAATATAAAATTGATATTATTGTAATTTCAGTTTCGTCTGCCACACGGGAGCTCAACAAAGATTCTAATAGTGTTGTTGTTTGTAAACATTCTATGGATAGTTAAGATTTATCCACCGTCTAAATATGACACCAATGAGAGCACTCCACAACCTCAAAAGCAAAGTGTAGAAAAAGTAACCTCCGCCGTTAAACTTAAATGTCCTCATCATTCTGATGTAGGATCCCAAGCACCGCTGCCGACTGCCAAATCAAATGGCAATATCACAAAGTTAACCTTTGCAAATATTGACTTTGGCTACGGCCGATGGGACAACCAACACAAGTACAAGATAAAGGATTTTGCTGTTGTTGGTGAACAGTACACAGAATCATCGAAAAGTAGTTTGCTGTGCCTTGCAACTCAAAGTTCTGTGGAGCGGTTATACTCCTTGCCACAGGTTGCAGCAAACTGGCACGGTCCGATTTCTGTCGCGTTGTTCTCCGCTGGAAACGACGAGTATATTGTTTTATGATATTTCGTCACGTATCTGCGCCTCTGCTTTCCGAATATTAAAGCGAACGCCACATTTCATATTTTAACGCCACAGGAATATGAAAGTATGCCAGGAGCAAGAGCCGAAACATTAAATTTAAAAGAAACATTTAATTGCCAAAATCCTGACAAAACATTAAGAACTTTGTTGAAATTACGAACAGCAAAAACCATGGAATGGAGAAAAAAAAACATATATCCTCAGAACCACATGCGAAATATAGCTCGAAAGGGTTGTCAATCCAAATATGTTTTTTTAACTGACATTGATATAATTCCAAGTATTAATAGTGTTGTACTACTCAACAATTTCTTTAAAACGGTTACTTGTGATGGAAATTGTGCCTATGTTATTC